GCCAAAGCTCCCATAACTAGATGGTATGACCGAGATTACAGATTTCTAGATCCAACCGATAATTGACAACCATAAACTGTAGTACAGACTATTTTTTAAAATTCGTCATCCATGGGATTTGAACTCTAGACCTGCCACTTGGAGAGGGTGATGACTAGACCACTACACTAAGTCGCCACACCTCTTTAGAATCTTTGTAATTTACAAATTAACTATCTAATTTATTATTAGGCAAATACCTAGCTGCTATAAAAGTGTCCAAGTATGGTTATTGCACTAATGTTGCCAACAAGCTTCACATATAGTGTTATTTGTATTTAAAAACCTGCTATAGCTTGGTATTTAGCTATCTACATTCAAACTGATTACATCTTGTCTTCCTTCTAAACTTATTTCACCAACATTTGAGCAGAATATATTTTCTTCTATTTTTGTATAGTACAAACATATATGCCAATTTACAAAAGAAAGACTTCTTTTAAAAGCCAATCTCTCCTTTCAAATTTATCCTACCTAAAATTTTGGTAATACCTTCTTCTGAACTCAATTCACTTAGATTCGAGCAGATTATATTATCTTCTACTTCTACATAAGACTAACATATATGCCAAAATTATGAAGGAAGCAAATTTAAAGAAAATCCCTAAAGACTCCTTTATAACTAAAAAAAATAGAAATTATTCTAAAAAAAAAAAACAGAACTTAAAAGAGAAAATAAAACAACAAGAAAAAAAGGAAAAAAAAATCTAAACCAATTCTAATATAAATAAAAATAAATAAAACAAGCAGAAAAAAGAAAAAATTAAGCGATCCGACACACTATTATAACCCATGCCAAGTAATTTAAAAAATTATATACTAGATACAACATCTGTATATCTCTGTTGTAAGACTAACTTAACCTTAAAATTCCTTTTGGCTCATTTCCAAATCTTTTTAATAATCTAGTTTGTATCTCAAGCCAAGTGCTGCTACTGTACTAGGATCTGACTCTCTATATATGGCACCAACAGCAACAAAGATCACAACGTTTTCATAAAGGCACTATCACTCTAGTACTTATGTCTCAAGCTACTTGCTACCACCACCAGGAATTCCTTTTTTTGACCAGGACTTGTTCCAGGGCCTATGCAATATATTTGTTTCCAAATACATGGTTGTTATCTACTAGTCTATCTAGATTTGGTAAGTAAACAATACTGATCTTTTGGAGGGGATAAGCCAAATCCCCACTTTTTATGAGGTAAAGAGGGTCCACTTGAGCTTCCAACCACTTTAAAGGAGTATGAGTTTTCTTTTCTATAGTTAAAACCTACTTCCAACACCTGCTTAATTTTTTTTTGATAAATAATAAACTTTGGGCTTGTTAGCAGAACTACCTCTAAACGATAAGTGCCAAGACTATGCAGTGAGTAATAAACTCTAAGTCTGTTGGCAAGTAGCGTATAAGAACTACTTCTAAATAACAGATGCTGTCTTACTGTTTAGTATATTAATGTTTTTTCAAAAAATGTAATTCAAGTGATTATTGGAAAGAGTTAGTTTAGTAGTTTATACTACTACTTTTAGCTAAATCTGCAGATAAATTATTAAATATATAATACTATATATTTAGTTTATAATCTAACCCTCAAATTTACTATTAATAATAAGCCTTCTATATATTTATAAAATATATTTTTGCAAGATATGGTGACTTAGTGTAGTGGTCTAGTCATCATCCTCTCCAAGTGGCAGGTCTAGAGTTCGAATCCCACTGGCGATGATTTTAAAAAATAGGCCTGTGTATGGTTGATGGCTTTCTATTGGTTGGATTTAGATTAATCTGTAACTTTGATCACACCATCTAGTAATAGAAGCTTTGGCATAATAAATCCAGTAAACCAAAATAACCAAAAACCCATTTGGCAAGTTCTGAGTTTGAAGGTAGTAGTGATCTATGATGGTACCACAGGAGAGCTGAATTCGAACCGGGGCCCAAGATTGGAGAACCAAGCAACCAGGTTCTAATAGTAGAAAACATACCAGCTAAACTACCAGGTTGTCGCACTGGAGAAAAAGGACATATGCTCTAAAAGTATGAACCAAGAGGAGGGCATCCTTCAGGTACCTAAAGCCTGAGCAGACCAACCCTTCCGAGTTGCCGGCTGGAAGTAAGAGAGGGACCAATAAAGAATCCGGGTAAAAAGACAGTCTAAATGTGGGGTACTGGAGTTGCTAGGAATCAAAACAAGGGCAAGAAGTATGTAATGAGTGCCTAGTTAGAGAGGTTGGTACTTGAGAAATGTCTATAGAACAGCAGCATTCCAAAAGATAGCATGAGATACGAATATAGAATAGCAGGTTAATATGTACTAATTAGAAAGAAGTTATAGAAACAAGCATGTGAATACATGTGTGGAACATGTACTACTATATTAGATTTACCTCAAGAATAGACTAGGTCTATATGGGTTAGTAAGTTCTAAGGCAGAGAGCAAAATCTAGATTGGGTGATATCCAAAATCTAGTGTATGAATGGTAAGATAAACCCATCGGGTTAGGGGGCAGATGGAGGTAGTTAGAACCAGATGGTTTAAATAGGTACTCTCTAGTTGGGGGTGCAGGTATGGCAGATAGTGTAGAACCTTTGGGCGGACTACTTAAATTAGGCACTCAAAAGGTGCATATGTGGCTTGATGTATCATCGTTGTAATTACATATAAATCTCCATCTATACTCTAATAAAAAGTTTTCTAGACCAATGTAGGTCACCTTAATATCAAAAAAAATAAAATAAAATAAAATATATTTTTGCAATATATTATTATTAAATAAATAAAAATAAACCAAAGCAAAAAAAAAAATTACACAAACAATTACAACTCTTTCTGACGATCATCTATACCAAATTTTTTCTACAAAAATTTTTTAACTGCCTTTAATATAAACTTAAAATACTTTTATTAAATATGATGAAAAGAAAGTTACAAAGTTTTGTAAAACAGCATTTATCATTTAGAGATAATTTTTATATGCTACCTGCTGATAGACTTAGAGTTTATTACTTACCACTGGGGCAGCACCTGTTATTTAGAAGTATCTTTTATACACTACTAGCCAAATTGTTTAGATTTTATTACTTTAAATTGTTTAAAACTTATTTTTTTCTTATAGACAAAGATATATACTCTTTTTTAATAGCTACTATATTCCAAATTTTTTTTCAACAAAAAGTGGGTGATTTGGCTTACCTCTAGCAGATGATCAGCTTTGTTTACCACTTCCATTTTGGGATTAACTTGGTGTATTACAACTACGTGTTTTGTATACATGTATATATATTTATATGACACCCCCCCATGTAGAGTTGCCTGCCATAATTGTTTTTAACAAGTTGTAATATTACACCTATATGTCGTAATATTGCAACCTATATGTCGTAAAGGTTGTAATTAATTACGACAGGCAACCCTACCCTCATGTCATGTCTTTAGATAGTTTACATGTAATGAGATAATAAGATGAAATCAAGAAATGTTTAATCCGAACTTTGAAGAGTTATACAAATTTTAAAGATATATCAATGTTGTAGTGATATAATATTTTTTTAGCCTTACACAGATTATAATAGTGTACTTTCTTTTTCTTTCTATATATGTCATGATTATGCCTTCTTTTTTTTTTGTTTTTTCTATCTTTTTCTTTTATATTTTATCCTTTATTATTGTGATTATCCCCCTTTTTTTATCCTCTTTATACTCATTTCTCCTTTTTTTCACCTTTTATTCTGCTTTTGGTTTTTAGGTTATATGATAGTCTTTTTGCTAAAGAAAGAGATGGTTATGATGGACTAGTAAAACCACATTAATGATATTCTTGGAAGTTGACTATAAAGAACAATCAACAAATTCTACTTTAGTATATACATGCCAACAAAATTATTTTGGGCTCAAAAACCCAAAATTAAAATTTGATGAAATTGTTTTTGACCTATTTTACTTAAAAGAAGAAATTTTTTGATATTTTTTTTGAATAGACAAAATTATAAGGAGTATAAATATATAAATTTTATTTGCCCTTTCTTATAAAAAATTTTAATTTGCTCTATTGGAGACAAAATAGGCCTTTTTTGAAAATCAATTTCAGTGGCATCACTACTCTGGCAGGTCGCATATAGGTGCCTATGGTAACCGGATGAGTTATATTTCTATTTACAGATACTAGGTATTGGATATAGTATTAGCATTTGCATATGTAACTATTATCTTTCTAATAAAATATAGCATGACCGCTTGGTTTTAACAAAAAAAAAAAAAAAAAAAATTACAAAAAATTATAAAATACCAAATTTAAATAAAAAAATAATTTAGATTTAACCAGAGGTGAAATTCACCAACCTAAGAATTTTTAGGGTTAGGGTGCAGTTTTAAGATAAAGGAGGATATATAACATAATATAGATTTGATATAAGGTCCCAATTTTAGTTCTTGTGAGGTTTTCGAGGGTCCTAAACATTTTTACTTAGAATATCCGATCCCGTTTACTTAGTACGTTTTTGAGATATAGCACTCCCGGTGAATTTCACCAGTGAGTATTAAAAACTTGTAAATAAATTAAAAAAATACATTATATACTGTATATATTTTTTGTAAATTTTACGACAACCAAGAAACATGTAATATATACATCAAACAAATGCAATAAATAAATTTTAGCGTCAACTTTATTTGAATATTCAATTTTTTTATTGATTAGTGGTCACATATAATTGTAGCATTACAAATTAATCTACTCCATGAACAGGTCACATAATTGATAATTTAATATATTCGCGATAATAAATGGAAACACAAACAATAAAAATAGAAAAATAAATATTAGATGCGAATATATAAATAACTTGTAAAAATAAACTATCGATAAAATACAAAATTTGTAAATCATAACTTTAATAATATGTAGGTTCAATATGTTTCAAAACGGTTTGCTTTATCTAATAGACTTTGATTTTTTTACATACTGAAATATAAAACAAATATTAAGGTTAGCTTATATATGAAAATAATAATACCGAATCGAATATGCAATGTAAATTACCTTTGAAGGTGAAAGCACTGCTTTTGTTGGAGTCGACAATTGCGTCTTTTTCGCCATTGTGACTATTATTAGTGTCAATAAAATATAGAATTAGGCATAATCACTAAGATATTACAAATGAAATAATAATAATATACCATCATGTGGAAAAGTAACAACAATCGAACGATCTTGTCCAAATTTAAAGTTATCAGCTACAATATCATCAGCGTAACGTTTAATTTGATACTCATCAAGTTTTCCCTGCTTGACACGACGAAAATTCCAAGTAATGACGAACGGACCAGTGCTGATTAAAAAAAAAGATAAATTATAATAAATTTTTAAACCAAATTATGCAAAATTGTTACAATAATCTACCTTGTTACTATAGTTTTCTCTCTTTCATCTAAACCAGTATTAAATCGTGCAGGCGTGAAATTTACCTTGAAAATCAAAAAATAAATGGGCGTGATTTACTATATACAATTGAGCGCAAATATTTATGTATACATACGGGTTTATCCATTAGAGCCAAGTGTTCTGGTTTTAGTTGCAACCTCCTTGGAATTGGCTTAAAATAAGAATGAAAAATAGGTAATAAGTAATTATGAATCTTTAAATAATAAGACTTGTGCCAATATCAAGCTATGTATCTATCAATATACAGTAACACAGACAAACCTTGTTATCTTTAGGGAAACTTTTTTCGAATCCTAATCTTTTATTTGGATCGGACTTAATTAATGTATCTAAGAGCAACAAGTATCGAGCAGTGGTAGCAATAATCCATCTACCATCTGATGTTACATCAATTCCCTTAATTGCACTGCCTAAAGCAGGAAGATTTGTCTTTGCATTCTTGCCTAGAGAATCGAATAATTTGACATCGCCCTTTTCACTTCCTACTACAATATGACCTTTGGCATCTGATGCCCCACAACTAAAATCACTCTTGGTCATATATTGTTTACGTTGGCTATCTACTAATTTTAAATCAGGTAGTCGTGGGTCAATTCGATAAAGCGAATTGTGCGACATTCCAATTAAGGTCTTCTCAGCTGTTGTCTGGGCAAACTTGTTACTTGCAAATATACTTGTAATAGGAACAACATCGTGAACATTCCATTCTTCAACAATTTTTCCATATTCTAAATCCATCTTAAAAAGGCTATGTTCGTCTTGAGGATCCATTAGAATTATTGCAGAATCTTCTTCATGCAGCATTCCCTAATAAAATAAAATATTGATAAGAAAAAGTGCGCATAATAATTTTTTTTTGTTTTTTTTTAAAAAAATATATACCTTTGAAGGATCAAATTTTCTCCCTTCAAGTTTTTTAATTTCGCCAATGTTTGTCGTTAATTCAATGCGATCATCATCTGTGTGTTTAAACACGCCAATCTTATTACCCTTCAAAACGAAAGATCTGTCATGTTTATAACCAACAATAAGCTGTGTATTGACACTTTCTCCTTCGACACCTTTCATATCAATATCACCATCTGAGTCGTCATCGTCATCATTATCCGAAATTTCATTTTCTACAACAGCGATTAATTGCATCGGCATAAGAAAAGAATTACTGGACAAAGGGTTCGAACTCTTATAATCATACCTTCTTCCGTGTCTTCTTTGTCGGTCGATTCAGCATCAGTCATTTCGACATCTTCTTGATAAGCATTCATAAAATATTCTTGTTCTTCTTCCTAAGTCAAAAAATTTCATTATACGAAATAAATTTAGGAGAAAAACTTCATATTAATTATTATGCCGAACCTTTGCCCTAACTTCATTTAAAGTTTCATACATTGCTTGGGCAAATTTTTTCTTGAAATTTGCTTCACCCTCTAAATCTCGGAAGCGGATCAAAAAGGAAGAAACTCCATCGGACTCTGAAATCACAGGAATCTTTATTAACAATGACTGTTAGCTGCTGAAGCTAAAAAAAAAAAAAAAATCAAAAAAAAAAACCATCGATTAAGAATTTACCATCAAAATAACACCATATGAAGCATATATGAGTCTAAATTAAATTAAATTAACAATTACTTTGAGTAATAAAACAATATTAATAAAAAATTTCTTAATTTACACTAGTGTACTAAACTAAGTTATAGTCAGGTTGATTAAGTTTTGGGTAGAGCATAGGGGTTTACCACAAAATCCCGAAAGACAGATTCCCGAAAGGATCTAACACCGACAAAGTTAGCCGGCATTAGTTATAATGCTGGCCAATTTAATCGGTATTATGTTCTTTCGGGAAAATGGCTTTCGGGATTTTGTTGTAGAACCGAGTATGAGTATAGTTTATATAATTTTGCAAAAGAGTTTATTAATTGGAACCTCAATGCGTTCATACACTAGTGTGAAACAGAAATTGTCTTGACAAATATAAAAAATTACCCGGTTAAATACGGGATTCATTTTTGGTTCAACCCGTTGGCCGATAACTGTTGTGTTATCATCTGAAATGACATGCCAATCTACAATTTAAAAGAGTCAAGAAATAACTTTGAGACAAAGTGTTCATGCCAAATTTAGATAACCTTAAAAAAAAGGATACACTCAAATTTTTTTCCTTTCATTATACTGGCAGTGGCATTTTGCGACATTAACAAAAATGTTCCACTATTAGCATCAAATACATGTAATTCAACCGGTACTGATATAATGCTTTCAATTTCAGAAGGGGCACCGGGAAAATCAAAGGACACAATTTGTCTTGTAGGGGTGGATGGGGAAGTTTCAGACCGAATAGACCTAACAGGAGTCGTGCTAGCTGATACCGGCGTGTCATTTAAAGGTGTAGATATGGATTGTGAAACTTTCGAAGGGCTTCTTTCCTCAGTTTGCGGTCTATGATTTATTATATTATAAACTTCTGACGTATAATCGCATTATATAAATAAAGATTGTACCCGCTGAAAAATCTCGGGTGTTGTTAAATTACCCGGGTTCTATTATATGCTTCACAGCAATCGCTATTCGGGTACAATCGCTAAATATAAAAACTTACACGTAAATGAAACTTTGAAGATCTTGTTCGGTCGCCTCTTCACGTGATTTTCTGTATTTTCGCTCGAACATGCAACTGTACATGGTATATTCGAAAGCATTGGTTGTATGTGCTGTAGTATTCACGTCGCAAACAAATTCGAACAAATCGTCTGGATCCTGTTGTGAAAAAGAATAAAGCAATTAGATTTCTAAAATACGATTTGACTTAACTATAGTGATGTCACTTACACCCGTTAAATCTCTCCATGCAAACGTGGTCAATCCCTCGATTTGACCTTTACGAAATTCGAGAGATTCATCAATAAGGAAAACCTTTTCTTCTTCGCCACCTTTACAAGTCATATATTTTAGGATTCCTACTAATTGAAACGTGACATAAAATACGGACTTATAGCATTAACAAACCTTGACTTTCCTCGTCGGATTCACCTTCTGATATCAGTTCTTCTTCACCTTCCTCAAAAATTCTGTCGACGACAAGTTGATATTGCCATTCAGTGCCCGTGCGCCTCATAATGGCTTGTGCTTCCCGAAAGCTATGGACAAATCGTATAATTACTTAGTAGACGTGTATCAGCTGAAAGAGTTAGAGACGCGTACATAAACATACATGCATTCTCTATTGCCTTTTGGACTATTTGGCCTGACAAGATAAAGCTCACCATTACTTATTTGAATAAGTTCAGGGTTATCTGGATCACCTATAAACCAAAGCTTAACGTAAACACCACTAATAAAGCAATTATAATCCAACGCCTCACAGGTACTCACCCCAAATAAGTTTTCCAAGAGACTTTATCATGAACATTTCGAGCTTATTGTTGGGGTTTGTACTGTTTAATAAGAACTAATCTTATAACGAGAAATTTTAAGCTACTGCAAGAAATATAAATTGCCGAAGTATTACGCCATATGAACGCAAAGCTGATTTATAGCTTTATTTTTACATCATCAATCATGCTTTACACAAGATCGATACACGTGTACTATCGATCTGCGAATGGAAGTATTCTTAATTACAAAAGCACTTATTGTTAAATTATTAATAAAAAAAATTATTTCCATCATGAATTACATATCATGAACTACATCCAAAATAAAAAAAAATCATAGCGCATATAATATTTGATTATAAGAAACTCATACACTATGTTAATAAAATACATGTATGCACATTTGGCCAAATCACTGCGATCTTCGATACAACCACTCCAATTCGTTATCAGAAAGTTCAAAAACAAAAAAAAAAGAAAAATCTACATTAGATTTTTTTTTACAAGAACTTCTATAAAAGTGATTATATGAATTATGTATTTCCATTCGCCGGATGTTTCGACTTTTTCTTTTTCTTGATCAATTTAGCAGACGCGCTCTCTACATCCATTACATTTTCATCCACGGAATTAGATCGCTTTCTATCGGTCTTACCATCATCATTCACCTTTGCTTTTGTTGAGGAAAGTTTACCCGGTTTAGTCTGTGTGGTATCCTTGTATTTCTTTTCTTTCCTTTCCTTGGTGAGACTTCCTTTTGGAGTGGATATAGATTCCTTGTTGGTATTTTCTGACATGGCTACTGGATCATTTTGAAGACTTGAAGATTTAACCCGCTTAGAGAGCGTATCTTTATTATCAATGAAAGCTTTTCGTTTTTGCGCATCTGTATTAGTTGATGAGATATTTGATAACTGTGGAGATCTTGCTCTCTCTGTAGAAATTAATTCGTCATGACTTCCATCTTCATATTCATCGTCTGAGGAATCTGAACTAACTTCTATATTTTTCTTTTGTGTAATGCTAATTGGTGTTCCTTTCTCATCATCGGAAAAGTCGCTACCATTCTTGCTAGAACCTTTATAGTCTTTGTCAGATGCGTTTGTGTCTCCTGATACAGATTTTTCGTCCGCAATTCCGTCATCATCTGGTTCACCGTTAACAACTCCTTGATCTTCTTCGTTCTTACCTTGATCGTTTGAAAATTCGCTTTTCCACTTGCTTAGTGCTTCCTCAAATTCATCTTTGTATGGCTATATTATAAGTTCTTAATTTGTTAACAATAAAGTTTATGAATTCTAAAAAAAAAATTAAAATTAGTAACAGAGAGATATTTGTTACCCTTTTTGCGTCATCATCCATCTTTCTCCATTGCTCGCCCATTATGCGGACTATCCCGTGATATTTCTCTTCCGGATATTCATGCTTATACACTGGATATACTTTTTTACAAAAGAATTGAAATGCGTTTTGTGGCTTTGCTGGTCCGTCTCTTTTATTTCTCCTCTTACGTTTCGGTGCTTGCTTGTCAGCGCCTTCCTCAGCTTGTGAAAGTTTACTTTTCTCTCCTTGAGAGCTTTTGCCTTTGCTTGTGCTTCCACCGGTCTCTTTTAGTGCTTTGACACGCCCATTTATAAATTCTTGCAGACTCGTAGCAGAATTTTCTCGCTGTAGTTCTTCTTCATTTTGTGCCGACAATGCTGTAGAAACATTAAGCAGATTATCAGCTATGCTGGCTAGGCTACGAGCAATATTTTCTAACCCGTCAGACTATCAAAATTAATACTTTTAGTCTCCTTAGTTAAATGATAAGGTGCGGCAATAAGTTTTAGATAAGTAGAGAAAGTATACCAAAAACTTGTTTTTGCGTTGATTAAAAGCTTCCTTGGACATGTTTCCAAGCAAAAAAATATTTAGAGCAAACGCGTTGGAGACGACTTATTTTCTAATAGATATTAGTATTGGTTTTTGGTTATTTTATACAGACGTAAAAATTCAATGACGTGACTAAAAGATATAAGTGGTACATACGTAACAGTAGGTTTATATAAAAGGACGCGAGGCACAAAACAAGGCAAACCGAAGGCCGGCCACAAAGATTGTTACCAAGCCTAAATTAGAATTCAAAAAATCCAGAACACAAGAGACCCCCGGAAAATATACTGATATTCCTGGTACGATCAAAGTATGGGAACTTTTAGAACCCCGGATAATGCTAAGAGAAGTGAGATTAAATTGGCTAAGTGCCACGAAAAAAGGAAAAATTGACAAAAAAAATTTTGCTCCGATTTGTGGAATTGGATAGTAATTGATCTTTTTTAGAACCCTAAATTTTATTATATATACTGTATATATATACGGTATATATATACTATATATATATATATATTTTTTTTTTTTTATTCTAAATTTAGGGTTAGGGCGCAGCTTTAAGATAGAGGTTAAATATAAGGTTAGATACTTATAAGGTTTCGAATTAAGTTTTTTGTAAGGTTTTAATTATTTTTACTTAGAATCTCTGATTACTGTATATTTACTTAGTATATTTTCGAGATATAGTATACTAGCTATAATACAGTAACAAATTAAAAATATTTTTTTAAATTATATGAAAATTTTTAAAAAAATTGAGTTATTTGAATATTGCGACTTTATAATTACTATATTATGATTTTTAATTTGAATAAAATTAAAATATTGCTAAATATTTGATATAATAAATTTTTATAAGTGTTTAAATAGTTAAAAATATATATATATTATAATATTATTTATAAGATACTATATACAGTATATATGTATAATATATTTTTTATTTTTTATTTTTTTTAAGCAGTCTTGTTTTTATTTATTTGAACTACTATATGACTAATATACATATATACATAATCTTTATAGTATAATGTTCTAATCTAATAAAAACTCACCAAGCACTTTGTTTAGTGCGACCTGCCAAAACAACAATTCATCTCCCTTAGGACTCTTAACTTTCTAAGGATTTTGTACTATAATAATACCCTCTTGGTCAATGATTGGCTGTTGTCTGCCATATAATATATTTCTTAATATTTATTAATTTATCTAATTACTTTATAAATATATATATAACCTGCTACTGTATAACAAAGTTTATCTTATATGAAGGTGCTAGTAAAAACCAAGCTTTTAAGTAAATTTTTTTAAAACTTTGAAATAAAATATCTCAACAACTATTAAACCAAACTTAATAAAAATTTTTTTATTTTAATTCTACAGTATGTAGTTATAGAATTTTTTTTTTAATAACTTAGCAGTCATGCCTTAACTTTATTAGGCTTTGTACAACTCATCTAAAATATGTAAAATTTTACAATTGAGCATTTTAGAAGGTAAGTAATAAACTCTTAACTTGTTAGCAAATAGTATATAAAAACTATTTCTAAATAACAAGTGCCATAGCCCAAATTGTTACCTAAATTACAAGTTACGACTAACTTAGTTACCAACTTGGTACTTATATTTAACTTGCTATAGTAGAATTTTCTTTTTTCTGGATCTTTTCTGTAATCAGATATGATCTAGATTTTAACAGATAGTATCTACCACTTATCATGACTACCTTTCTCTTCTTTCAGACTTTTTCTATTTAAGCTTAGCAATATAATTAAATCCTTATTCATATATCAAAGTAAAAAAAATATAGCCATGTTTACAAAAGACATAAACATTTTAAAAAAATACACCTTATAATAATAATAAATAAACAAAGATAAAAAAAGCAAAGAAAAAAAAAAGTAGCTATAATATACTATTATAGCCTGTGCCAGGTATAGAGATAAAAATTATATAATAATTGCAACTAATTACTATATCTTGATTATAAAACCTTCATTTTAACTTTGGAACTTGTTCTGTACACCAACTCGACTTGGGTATCTTCTAAACATAAACAATAATCTTTTCTTCATATTATAGTAACATGATTACAAATAAACAAAACATATGATTGCATTTTACTGAGTTTGTCTGAATTAGATAAGTATAAACAATGCTGATCTTTTGGAGAAAGTAAGCTGAATTGCCCACTTTTTGTTGAAAATTTTGGTAAGGTTGGCAAAATTCAAGAGAGAGTAAAACACTTGAAACTACTTAAAAAAGTGTAGATTTTTTCTTTTTACTAAAATCAACAGTAATACCAGAGCCTGCACAATACTTAGTGAGTAATAAACTCTAGACTTGTTGGTAAGTAGTATATAAAAACTACTTCTAAATAATAAGTATTATACTTGCAGTAAGTGATAAACTCTAAAGCTGTTAGCAAGGTAGTATATGAGAACTACTTCTAAATAATAGCTGCTGGCTTAAGGTTTCTTTTCCCATATCTTATATTAGTAGTTAGTAACTATTATACTAATATACTGTATTTTTTTTAATAAAAAGTTTTTAGAAAATTGTGGTCCAAGTAATTATCAGAAAGAGTTGTATAGTTATAGAATTAAAATAAAAAAATTTGGTTTAATAGTTGTTGTTAAGATATTTTGATTTAACTAAAAACAATTTGCTTGGTTTCTACTACCACCTCTATATAAGAGAAATGCAGTAAATTACATAATTAGGGTTTATATATCAACAAAAATAAATAGGCGTAAACCTCTGCAAGTTTTTACGCGAGCGTAAACTTACAAAAATTTACGATTAGTTCAGAGT